TATCCTGGTCTCCCATGGGGTGCAGGGCCCAAGCACTTGGGCAATCCTCCACTGCACTCCCTGGCCACAGCAGAGAGCTAGCCTGGAAGAGGGGCAACCGGGACAGAATCTGGCGCCCCAACCGGGACTAGAACCCGGTGTGCCGGCGCCGCAAGGTGGAGGATTAGCCTAGTGAGCCGCGGCGCCGGCCCTGTCTTTTTAAAATAAGTCAATTACAGAAAGGGAGAGACAGAGATCTTCCATCCACTGGTCCACCCGCCCCCAAAGCCACAATGGCCGGAGCTGGGCCAATCTGAAGCCAGGAGCTTCCTCTGGGTCTCCCATGTGGGTGCAGGGGCCCAAGCACTTGGGCAGTCCTCCGCTGTTTTCCCAGGCGTTAGCAGGAAGCCGGATCAGAAGTGGAGCAGCTGAGACCCGAGCTGGTGCTCATATGGGATGCTGGGGCTGCAGACATCTGCTTAACCCGCCGTGCCACAGCACCGGCCCTGTCAGGTACGGTGTTCCGTCTCTGTAGATGGCGACTGCTGCATTTGAGAGAGTTGTAGCTCTGGGCTCTCTTTGATAGCTCGTGCACAGGGCTGTTGCCAGCAACTTCTCTTGCTTACACCTGTGGAGTGGAGCCAGGTGTTTGGGATGAATGAGTACAATGAGCCATGACTCCTTCACCTGGAAGGCAAAGGGGCAGAAACATTTGCGATTAGATTTCAAGCTCCCTTCCCCGATCTGGCCTGAAGACAGGAGGGCAGCGGAAGGGGTGGGGTGGCGTCCGCCTAGGCTGAGGACAGCAAGCAAGCTGCTGCATCGCACGCAGCCACTCTGCAGAGCGCACGGCTAGTAAAACACTGCTCACATGGAACACGGCTCTTAGCCAGCTAGCCAAGAAGCCACACCGTGTCAGTAGCTGTTCCCACGGGAAGACGGTGACGCTGTCTCCAGAGTGTCCGTCTGAGATGCGTTTCGTTGAGGGAAGCAGCCGATGAGTCTTTGGTTTGCGTTTTCATGTAACTGGCAAGGGAACATGCGGGGCCTAAGTTCCGGAAGTAGGTTTCCCTCGGAGCCCTGTGACAATGCAGCCGGGGAGCCTGACTTCACCTCTGGGTGGGGCTCCCCAGGGGACCCTCCCTGCTGTGTACCCCTCGTTCAGATCCCAGGACGCTACATTTCCCACGCACGTCTGTCGTGGCTTGCAAGGGCCACTCTTAGGCTGGCAAGGCTTCTAGAACTTGGGACTTTTCAGACAACCGTTGCATGAGCTAAACTGTTTTTTTTCCGTGTCCTCACTCCCAGCGCTCAGACTTGCAGGATGCTAGGACGTGGTCTATCTGGAGCCAGCATCAGCTCCCACATTTAAGGGCTCGGTCGCAGGAGGTTGCCCCCGTGTCACAGGGCACCTGGCTGTAAACTGGGGCTTCGCAGGACCCACTCCCTAAGGTTTCAACATTGGCTAGAACTCCTCACGGACGTCGGGGAAGCACTTCGTGTTTACTGGTTTATTAGAAAGGATGTGGACGAACAACCAGATGGTGAGATGTGCGGGGTAAGGCGAGGGAGGGTCCCGAATGCAGGAGCTCTGGGGGTGGGCTCACTAGCCTGGACCCGCTCTGAGCCCCACCTGTCAGGGACTTCTGTGGCAGCTTCGTCATGTAGGGATTATTGATTAGTAATGCGGTCTGCAGCCCCCTGCCCCTCTGGAGGATGGGGATTGGGGGATATGGCTGAAATTTCCAGTCGTCTAAGCGTGGCCTGGAGTTTCTAATCGCCAGACCCCATGCAGAAGCCCACCAAGACTGAACAAAAGGACATTCCTATTTAGAAAATTTTAAGGGATTTAGCAGCGCTGGCCAGGAACTAGGGCCAGAAATAAAATGCTTGTGCCCCATCACTTATGATGGAATCTATCCCAATAAAGCCACGGTAAGCTGAAAATATCATAAGTCAAAAATGCGAATCCACCTGACGGGGCCCACAGCACAGCTTAGCAGCACGGCGTCCTGTAGAGCGTGTCTCTGCTGCCCCTGCCCGGCATCACATGAGAGATCAGACCACCTACCACCAGCCCCAGAAAAGATGCAGTTGGAAGTACAGCTCCTACTGAGTGCACATCTCTTTGGTGCCATCACTGAGCCAATAAATCGTAAGTCGAGCTATCGGAAGTTGAGAACCAGGTGTATGTTTTATTGTTATCCCAGTAATCGGCAGTTAGCACATCCCACTCACAGCGAGCCAGTGTGAGGATATTTCAGTCGCCACAGGACGGATTAAACAGGTAAAACTAAAAATAGAGAATGCATCTGAGAAAACGAAAATACTTCCTCATTAGGGAGCGTCTCGCGTCATAAGGAGCGAGGGTTTGGGAGTGTAGTGCTGCTGCTGGTCACAGCTGTCAGAATTCGGGAGGAAAATGTCAGAGGTCACATCCTGTAAAGCCCTGAAATGGTGCACAGACAGGGGCAGGGAGAGGGACTGCCGGGCGACCTGACGTTAGTTTGGAGGAGCAAGACGGAGGTTCCTGGGTCCACGGCAAGTACGGGAGGGAACACAGTGCAAGGAAGAAGCCATCAGAATAAACTGGAAAGTAGCAGCCTGCCCAAAAGTATTCAGACTTCGTTTTTTTAATCTCCCCAGTACTCCTCTACTGGACGGGTTTGGCTGTAAACCACCAGCTGGGACTCCAGGAATAGAGGAAAAGACGGTGAAAGCCAGAGGTGTGGCCAGAAATCAGAGCCGCAGTGCTCATTTCTCTACCCATGGCTTCCTGTCCTCTCGCTGGAGCTGACCGAGGCGCCCAGAGCAGAGTGGGTGTGAGGACTGAACGTGATGGTGTGTATGTGGCTTGGAAAAGGCCAACCCAGAGCGCCCCAGCAGAGTCGCCGAGAGACGGTAGTCCGCGGTGGAATTGTGCAGGTGGCTGAGGCTGCGCTGAGCGCTTCCGCCCACGCCTGACTGTGGGAGTGCTCGCCGTGTCCTCTCCGGGAGCCGGGAGCCCGCACGGAAGGGAAGCACACTCTGAGAAGTCTTCCCAAGCAAGGCCCGCGGCTCACGCGGAACACGGCTCTTGGCCAGTTAGGCAAACCCAACCCTGGCTGGGGCTGCCCCGGGTCACTTCCAGGGCCGATGATGCAGAAGTGTAGGGACGGGACGGTTCACTTAGTGACAGACTAACGCTGTCACATGAAGGCTTTGTTCAGTATTTCTTTAAGTTCAGCTTGGATATCAGCAACAGTGATTTTATCTGAAGCAGATCTCTTAAGTATTGTGACGAGTAACTGTGTTTTGAATCACTACATGACTGTTTTTATACTTCTGAATATTTTTAAAAACTTTTTTTAAGACTTATTTTATTTGAAAGGCAAAGTTAGAGAGGAAAACAGGGAGAGAGGGATCTTCCATCTGCTGGTTCACTCTCCAAATGGCTGCAACAGCTGGCTGGCCAGGCTGAAGCCAGGAGCTTCTTCTGGGTCTCCCACATGGGTACAGGGGCCCAAGCACTCGGGCCATCTTTCGATGTTTTCCCAGGCACATTAGCAGGGAGCTGGATCAGAAGTGGAGCAGCCAGGACTCAAAACAGCATCCATGTGGAATGCCAGCATCGCAGGCAGTAGCTTTATCCACTACGCCACAGCACCAGCCCCAAGATTTGTTTAATGATTTATGTGAAAGGCAGAGCTACAGAGACAGACAGACAGTTGTCTCATCCACCAGTTCACTCCCCAAATAACCCCAAAAGTTGGGGCTTGACCAGGCAAAAGCCACAAGCCTGGAACTCCATCCTGGCCTCACACAAGGGTGTCATGGCCCCAAGCACTGGGGCCATCATTCCCTGACTTCCCATGTACATCAGGAGGAAGCTGGATTGGAATTGAGCCAACTGGCACTCCAAAATGAATGCTGGTATCCCAAGACGTGGGCTGACCTCACGCCAGCACCAGCATCTGTTTTTGTGCTTCTGGATAATTTCTGAAGAATGGTAAGTGTGTCCCTAAATATAGGATATCAGTTAACCTAAAACGTCACCTGTGGCATGGGTGTTTACCTAGTGGTTGGGGTGCCAGTGAGGACACCCACATCCTGTGGAAGAGGATCTGGTGTGGTTCCTGGCTCTGCCTGACTCCAGCTTCCTGCTAGTGCAGACCCAGGGATGCAGTGGCGATGGCTCAACTTGCCAAGTTCCTGCCACGCAGGTGGGAGACCTGGTTTGAGTTCCTGGTGCTTAGCTTCGGCTCCAGCTGGCATTGGCAGAGTGAACCAGCAGATGGGAGCTCTGGCTACTCGCTGCCACTTAGCCTCTCCAATAAACAATATTCCTTGAATTTTTAAAAAAGTCCATACACATATTGTAGAATAAATCAAGTCTTCCCAAAAAGGTATTTTCAAGTTCTAACCCCTGCTTTCCACTAACTTGACCTTATTTAGAGACAAGGTTGTTATCAATCCAGTGTCACTGGTGTCCTTGAGGTAGAGGAGAAGGACACAGATACAGGTAGAAGTTGGAATGACACAAATCCAAGCCAAGGAATGCCAGGGCTTCCGGCAGTTTTAGAAGCTAAGCTATAGGAGCGCTGCTCGCCTAGAGCTTTTCGAGAGAGTATAGCCCCTGGGTGTTGATTTGGACATCCAGGAGAGAACGCTCAGAGTAAAGACGTGTTGTTCAAAGACACTCTACTTGTAGTACTTTGGTGTGGTGGCCAAAGGACATTTTTTATTTTATTTGAAAGGCAGAGTTACAGAGAGGCAGAGGCAGAGAGAGAGAATTAGTCTTCCATCCACTGGTTCACTCCCCAGATGGCCGCAATGGCTGGAGCTGTGCTAATCTGAAGCCAGGAGCTTCTTCTGGGCCTCCCATGTGGGTACAGGGGCCCAAGGACTTGGGCCACCTTCTATTGCTTTCCCAGGCCATAGCAGAGAGCTGGATTGGAAGTAGAGCAGCCGAGACTTGAACCGGCGCCCATATGGGATGCCAGCACTGCAGGTGGCAGCTTTACCCACCGGCCCCACAAAGGAAATTAACATACCCTGTATTAAGATTATTTTCATGCCACATTTTAGTAACTTTTAAAAACTATGATTGGAGGTTTTCTGGAACTTTCCATTTCCCATACCCTCCCACTGCCCAGCTGAGAGTTGATGACGTTTGCTGTTTCATTTCCTTCTGTGTTTGATTGAGTAGTCTGAGAACTATATTTGATCCCAAGAGGAGATACTCAACAACAAGTCAGTGAAGAGGAACTTGGGACATCGTCATCAAAATGCCTTTATTTGACCATTAGCCTAGACAGAGGGTCTAAGTGTCAAATACTATGCCAGGGACCAGCCATGAAAAGATAAAATATGACACAATCCTTGTCCTCAGGAAGATTTGGGTCTGAAGCTGAAAACAGGTGCACACAGTTCCAGACGCTGTGGCGAATGCTCTAAAGTGGTTCTTAGATGTCAGTGTGCACTGGAATCACCCGGAGGTCTTGCTAACCTCGGCGGCAGGGCCCCGCCCAGGAGCGCAGGGTTCAGAAATCCTCCAGTAGGCCTGAGTTTGTTTCTAGAAAGTTCCCAGGTGCTGCTGCAGCTTCTGCTCGCTGGGGAGCGCATTGAGAACAAGGCCCAGGTGATCTCGGGTGGGATGAGCCAAGGTCCCCCAGAAAAGTCCTGGAGCAGGGTTTTGAAGGGCAGGGAGGATTATCAGTAGAAACTAAGCACCATTTGCTAGAATGTTCTGTTTGTCACCCCACAGTTTGGCCCCCACGTGTTCTTTCTCTTACCCTTCAAACTCTTGTCCTAGGACACAGGTGGAGAAATCACTGCCCGGGGCCCTGGGGAGCCATGACAGCTTTCCAGCAGGCAGCTTCGTGCTGAAACATGGTTTCCATTAGTGTGTGCGATCGCCTTGGGAGGACTGGGCTGGGAAAAGACTTCAGACGCTGGCACAGGAGTGCAACCCTAGGTTGAAAACTGGGAAAGAAGTGGCTAAGTGACCTGGACTAAGCCATAAGGGGGCTGGGGCAACCCACACTGGGCAGTTCTAGAGGTCGGTCTGAGATCAGAATGGCTGCGTGTTTGGGTTCTGATGAGGGCCTCTTCCAGGCTGTAGACTGCTGACTTCTCCTTATAGCCTCACGTGGAAGGAAGAACACAAGCTAGCTCTTGGGCCTCTTTTTTATTTTTTAAAGAGTTATCTTCAGTATTTGAAGGGCAGAGTGGCAGAGAAAGACAAAGAGATCTTCATTATGCTGGTTTACTTACCCCCAAATGGCTGCAGTGGCTGGAGCTGGGCCACGCTGAAACCAGGAAGCAGGAGCCCCATCTGTGTCTCCCATGGGGGTGGCAGGGGCCCAAGGACTCGGTCCATCTTCTGCTGCATTCCCAGGTGCATTGGCAGGGAGCTGGATAGGAACTGGAGCAACTGGACTCGAACTGATAGTCTGATATGGGATACTGGCATTGCAAGCAGTGGCTTAACCCACTGCACCACAAGGCTGGCCCTGGGTGGTGGTGGTGGTTTTTAATTTCTTTTAAAAATTTGAGAGGCAAACAGATGGAGAGAGAAGACAGAGTTCCCATCTGTTGCCCACTCCATACATGCCTGCACGTGGGAAGCAGGAACGCAACCTCCCAGGCCATCATAAGCCCCAGGATCCACTCTAGAAGGAATTTAAATTCAGGAACCAGAGTCAGGAACCAAAGCCAAGCATCCCCATGTCAGACACAGGTGCCCCAACTGCGTAGCCAAATGCCCTGCCCTGGCTCTTCTTAAAGGTCGCTCATCCCACTCATGAGAACACAAGCCTTATGGCCTAATGACCTCCCGAAGGCTCTACCTTCTGATGCCATTCTAATGTGAATTAGAGTTCCACATGTGAACTTGGGGCCATTCAGTCCAATACAAATGAAGAGATGGCACTGACGATGCAGATTTGCATCAGTGAGACGTGATGATCGCATGGTCGAGGGTCACCAAGAACTTCATCAAGTGACCTGCTCATTTTCCCAATGTTCTATCAACATTCAGAAGACTTATTTTCTGGGGCTGGCGCTGTGGTGTAGCAGGTAAAGCCGCCACCTGCAGTGCTGGCATCCCATATGGGCGCCGCTTTGAGTCCCGGTTGCTCTACTTTCAATGCAGCTCTCTGCTATGGCCTGGGAAAGCAGTGGAAGATGGCCCAAGTCCTTGGGCCCCTGCACCCACCTGGGAGACCTGGAAGAAGCTCCTGGCTCCTGGTTTCAGAACAGCACAGCTCCGATCATTGCAGCCAATTGGGGAGTGAACCCACAGATGGAAGACCCCCCTCTCTCTCTGCCTCTCTTCTCTCTGTGTAACTCTGACTTTCAAATAAATAAATCTTAAAGTTATTTCCATTTAATCAGTGAGACCACTTGAGTTCACCACCCCAGACCACAACTCAGGAAGGTGCTGAAAAAGCCTCCGGTCTCCAGCTGTACAGGAAGTGGAGTTCACATGGCAGTAGGTGGTGTGGGCGTAGTAGCACCACCTGTGGTGCTGGCATTCATGTTAGAGTGTTGGCTGGAGTCCCAGCTGCCTTGCTTCTGATCCAGCTTCCAGCTTATGTACCTGGGAAAGCAGTGGAAGATGGTCTAGGTACTTGGGCCCCTGCCACCCACATGGGAGAATCAGATAGAGTTGCTGGTTCCTGGCTTCTGGCTTTGGCCCGGCCTGGCCTAGCCTGGCCCTGGCTATTGTGCCCACTTGGGGAATGAACCAGCAGATGGAAGATCTTTCTCCTTTTCTGTCACTCTGCCTTTCAAATAAATCTTTTTTAAAAAAGTGTGTAGAAAACTCTTCCCTTGGAAAGCACTGGTTCAGAATCCCGAAGTGGGAGAACAGGGAGGCTTCTCAGTGCTGTCCCACACTGCGTTCCTGTCTCCAGGCTCTCCTGGCTTTGCTCCTGCCAGTCTGACCACTCCCCCTCAGCCTCCTCCACAGGTTCCTCATCCACTCATCACCTGCCGCTGTGCTTCACAGCCCTCTCTGCTCACGTCACTCCCCCAGTCTCCTGCCGTTGCTTCGGACCTGCTGATAGCTCACCATCTCCTGCCCAGTCTTCTCTTTCTTTTTTTTTTTTTTGAAGATTTACTTATTCACTTGAAAAGTGGAATTATGGAGAGAAAGAGAGATCTTCCATCTGCTGATTGACTTCCCAAATGCATGGCCAAGCCAAAGCCAGGAGCCTGAAACTCCATCTGGGTCTCCCATGTGAGTGCAGGGGCCCAAGCACTTGGGCCATCGTCCACTGCTTTCTCAGCTGCATTAGCAGACAGCTGGATCAGAAGTGGAAGAGCAGGGAATCGAACCAGTGCCCATGTGGGATGCTGGCGTTGCAGTAGCAATTTAACCAGCTGCACCAGATCGCCAGCCTTGGTCTTCTCATTTTAGCTTTCAGTGTGCGTACATAATGCGTTAGAGGTACCAGTGAGCCTCGTCACAGTGATGCATACCAACCACAGACCCCCTTGGGCATACAGTCTGAGGAGTTCTTGCTCAAATGACTGAGGTCCTTGGCTAAGCAGTCTTGATGAGCTTGGTTGCCCTTGTTCACGTATTTGGGGTCAGCTGGTGGTTAAGGTGGATTAATGTGGGCTGTCTTTAGCTCTGCTGACTGGGATGAGCGTGTTACCATCCAAGTGTCTCATGCCGCAGCAGGCTAGCCTGGGCATGCTCTTCTAGCACTGGCAGCAACACAAGAACTCAAGTGGAAACTCTGATGACCTCTGAAGACCTAGGCTTAGAACTGGCATGCCAGGGTTCCTACCACTTCCCACTGGCCGGGTCACCAAGTCAGCACGTCTTCAAGGAAGTAGCTGAGCTGCTTTTGTGAGAAGACTCAGCCCAGATCCTGGATGGGAGTAGGGACAAAGAACCCGGATGGGAGCAGAGAACGGAACCGAGGCCCTCGACGCTGTGAGAGGCGGGTTAACTTGAAAGCAGCTGATTCGGGCTAATTTGGATTTCCGGGTGTTCAGTCTTCAGGTCAGGCCTCATTGGTTCCGCCTCTAGCGATGGCATTTCTGCTGGCCGAGCCCCACGTTGGCACAGAGCAGCACACGGCAGGAAGGGGATGTGCGTGTGTCTCTGCCGTGGGACCTCCCACAACGCCGGCAGGATTCAGTAGTGGGGGCTCCACTGCCGCAACCGGAGCCACTGCGGCATTTCCCCCGGGACCCCACCTCTAAGCACCTGGATTAAGATACCTGGATTAAGTTTCCAAAACCCTCCCCATACCATTAACATAAGGGGACCAAACTCCTGCGGTCCAGGGCACAAACATTGAAACCATACAGATGGCATCAGTCTACCCAGGTGCTTTGTCCGTACCACAAGCTAAATATGCAGAACCTTGAATTCATCGTCTCCCCCTCCCGTCCCTCTGATACCTAACACAGCCTCAGCACTGCGCTCACTGCCTCTCCCAGCTCCAACCACCACCCTGGGTGATGCCTCTGCCCCTCCCACTGGACCCACCCTGGCTCACCCGTGCTCCCTGTCGTCAGGGTTCTCCAGAGGAACGGAGGGCACAGGATACACAACACACACCTGGCCTTTATATTCTATACAAGGGAACTTCAAAACAGGTGGGAGAGATTGCGGTTTTTGGTGCAAAACATTTTGAAATCTATGCATGTGTTTTTCATAATAGACGTTTTTCCATGAACTTTTTGAGGAGTTCTTGTGTATGAATTTCATAATTTTTGACACCAAACAAATTTCTTTTTTTTTTTTAAATAATCCATGCTGTTTGCGCTTTCTCTCTCTCTCTCTCTCTCTCTCTCTCTCAAGATTTATTTTATTTGAAAGGCAGAGTTACAGAGAAAGAGAGAAGTCTTCTGTCTGCTGGTTCACTCCCCAATTGGCTGCAATGGCTGGAGCTGGGCCAATCCTAAGCCAGGAGCCAGGAGCTTCATCCAGGTCTCCCACACGGATGCAGGGGCCCAAGGACTTGGGCCATCTTCCACTACCTTCTCGCGGTATAGCAGAGGGCTGGATCAGAAGTGGAGCAGCCAGGACTTGAACCGGTGCCCATATTATGGATGCCGGTACTAACAGGTGATGGCTTTACCCACTATTCCATAGCACTGGCCCATAAATTTGTCTTTTAATTTCAATTTTTCCATGAACTTTGTCAAGTACCCTTGTATACATACATACAAGGATGGATGGATGGATGGATGGATAGATGGATTGATTAATAAATGCACAAGAAAATTTAAGGAATTGCTTCCACAACTGTGGGGACTGTGAGGACTGGGAAGTCCCACATCTATAAGGTAGTAATTCAAGTAATAATTGACACTGTGGCCTTGTGTCTGACATCCTTAGGGCGGGCCAGCAGGCTGGAAACCCAAACAGGATTTCTATGTTAACCATTTTTTTCTTCTTAAGATTTATTGATTTATTTGAAAGGAACAGTGATGGGGTGGAGGTGGAGTGAGGGGGGAATCTTCATCTGCTGGTTCATTCCCCAGATGACCGTAACAACCAGGACTGGACTAGGCTGAAGCTAGAAGCCAAGAGCTTCCGGGTCTCCCACAGCGGGTGGCAGGGGCCCGAGGACTTGGGCCATCTTCCACTGCTTTCCCAAGCACTTTAGCAGGGCTGGATAGGAGGTGAAGCAGCCCAGACTCCAGTACGGGGTGCAGTGCTTCACCCACTGTAGCACAGCACCAGCGCCTGTGTTCCCAGTCTTGAAGCAGAATACTTCTCATTCTCCTGCAAACCTGCAGTTCTTCTCTTGAGGCTTTCAATTGGTGCAGCCCACCCCCACTAGGGAGAGGAATCAGCTTTGCTGAAGCCAACCTGTGTCAATGCTGAGCCCATCTACACAATGCCCACACAGCAACACCCAGACTAGTGTCTCATCAGACCACTCGACACCCTGACCAAGCCCAGCTGACACGTAAAATTACCCATCACACACTTCCTCCCTTGTGCCCTGCTGTAAAGGAATTCCCACAGCTCTGGCGCCTCAGGGCCTTTGTTGAAGCCACTGCCTTCACCTGCGGCACTTGGCCCTTCTCTGCCCTCCGTCTCACCATAACCATCATACCCGAGGTGGGGCTGGCACTTGGCCTGGTGGTGCAGACATGCGTACCCCGTTTCAGCATGCCTGGGTGTGATACCCAGCTCCATCACAGACCCCAGCTTCCTGCTAATGCAGACCCCGGAGGGTGGCAGTGAGGGTCAAGCAGTTGGGTTCCAGCCACCCACAAAGGAGACCAGGATTGAGTCCCTGGCTCCCAGCTTCGTACCCTTCAACCCACAACTGTTGTGGCTATTTGGGGACTGAACCACAGACAGGAGTACATTTGCTCCCCCTTCTCTCTGTCTCTCAAACTGTTAGTGGAGATAAGTGGGGTTCTTGTCTTCATGCAAGAAAGAATTCAGGAGCCGGCGCTGTGATGCAGTGGGTTAATGCCCCGGCCCAAAGCACCGGCATCCCCTATGGTCGCCAGTTCGAGACCCGGCTGCTCCACTTCCAATCCAGCTCTTTGCTATGGCCTGGGAAAGCAGTAGAAGGTGGCCCAAGTCCTTGGGCCCCTGCACCTGCGTGGGAGACCTGGAGGAAGCTCCTGGCTTAGGATCGGCGCAGCTCCAGCCATTGCGGCCAATTGGGGAGTGAACCAGTGGATGGAAGACCTCTTTCTCTCTCTCTCTTTGCCTCTCTCCTCTCTCTCTGTGTAACTCTGACTTTCAAATAAATGAATAAATCTTAAAGAATTCAGATGTGAGACAGAGCAGTGGTAAGCAAAGCAACAAGGTTTACTGGGGTAGGGGCACCCATGAGAACAGATGGACAGAATCAGAGTGCCCAGTCTCTCGGGCTGGGGAAATCATGGTGACGCGGTTGAGAGGGAATACACCTGGCAGCCGGGCGGGCGGCTCGGGGAGAGCTGAGAGCTGAGCGTTTGCCCTGTTGGACTGGGAGCTCCTTCTCCCATCCTTGGTGTTCCCAACATTGCCAGGCTCCTAGCAGGCTCCCGGGCAGAAGCTGTGTCTCTGACTGTAGAGAGCTGGAAGTCCTCCCAGAGCCGCACGTCCAGGAGAGGAATGGAGGCCCAGGAGGCTCACAGGAGGTGGACACAGGCCCTCTAATCCCGAGCCAAAAACTCTTCTCCCTGCATCTTTGGCTCTGAGGTTCCCTCTCCAGTTTCAGGGCAGAGAAGCCCAGGTGTCTGGCTCCAAGCTCCCTGACTCACTGTGCCTTACTGAGAACGGGCCGCTCTGACCTTCTCTCTGCAGGTTCACAAATGAAATGTGTGTGTGGAGGGAGCCGCTTTTCCCCTGAATGTGACAGGACCAGTAGCTTGCAGGTGGACACCAAGAGCCACAGTCCCATGGCTCCCACCTCTCCTGCTCCTCTCCGTCTCAGGAGGAACCTTTACAACGAGATGAACCAGCACAGCTGTCCAGTGAATGCTTACTTGGGTCAAATACTGCTCTCTGTGCTTCTGGGTACATGTCCTCATTAAACTTCACCTCCTGTGTCTCGGCCCCAGTCTGAACATGGGCTAAGTGAGACATGGAGAATGCAAGTAAGTTGACCAAATCTTAGGCCCAGTTAATGACAGAGCCAGTATTTAGATCTCAATAGTCAAGATCCAGAGCCTGTAGGAGAGATGAACATCACTTGTCTGAAGCCATCCCCTAGAAGAGAACACCAGCCGCAAGTATGTGAGCCACACGTGTGACATACATCTCCCTAACAGCCACCTTTAAAAAATGAAATTACCTTTGATCATGTTATTTAACTCAGAACTTTCTGCCTCAACACAGAATCAAGAAATAACTGTGAAGATGGCTAACACTTTTTTCCTAATCAGTCTTTGAACTTTGGTGATGTTTCATATGTCCCAGTTGGGACCAGCTTCCCTCAAGGGCTCAGTAGTAACTGTGGCAGGTGGCACCTCATTGGCCGGCACAGAGGTAAAAGATCTGTCCGTGTCACTCAGACACTGTAATAGCCATGCTGCTCTGTGAAGGGGATTCAACAGTTCATGGAAAAGTGAATTTGAAACATAAGTTGAGGGCTGGTGATGTGGCATAGCGGATAAAGCCACCACCTGCAGTGCTGGCATCCCATAGGGGCACCTGTTCGTGTCCTGGCTGCTCCTGTTCCGATCCATTCCGATCCAGCTCTCTGCTCTTCCTAGGAAAGCAGTAGAAAATGGCCCAAGTGTTAGGTGGGAAGTTAAAAATTAGCCCACGTGTGTGAGAAAAGGGCTCAGAGAAACCAGCATCTGCTTTGGAAACCCCAGAAGCCCAGCATCGTGCACTTCAGAGTCCTGCTCAGACCCTGGTAACCTCCCGGGTGGTCCCAGCCCCCCACCCCCACCCCGCCAAGCTCCCAGGAGAATTCTCTCAGGACCAAGGGGGTTACCTGATGACACGGGGCAATAAAACCCTCACAGATGCCCAAGGGGAAGCCCCTCTACTCTGCCACCAGCAAATCTGGGGAGGAAGTTGCTAGTTTTCACCCAACAAACCCTTTCGCCAGGGCTCCCCATTCTTTGTCCTGGAGGAGAGGGCGCAGTGGGTAAAGAGACTCCCTTAGAACCGGGAGTCCAAACAGACTGCGGGCTCAGCCCTCTGCTCTCTGCTGAGCCGCCCGCCTGGCCTGCCCAGGTGTGTTCTCTCCACTCAGCCGTGTAACCTCGCTCTCCCCCACTCCCAGTGACTGGACGCTCCGTCCCTTCTGTCTGATGGATGCCCTGTCCCCAGTAAAACCTTATTACTTTACTCTCTGTCTCATGCCTGAATTCTTTCTCGCATGAAGACACCCCACGGCCTCCATGGCTTTTTCTCTGGTGATGCAAGTGCTTGGACCCCTGCACCCAGGAAGAAGCTCCTGGCTCCTGGCTTCAGATTGGTGCAGCTCCGGCCATTGCAGCTCTCTGGGGAGGGAACCAGTGGATGGAAGACCTCTCTCCTTTGCCTCTGCCTCTCTGTAACTCTGCCTTTCAAATAAATAAATCTGTAAAATAAATAAAACATAAGTTTATTTTTGGTGCAAAAAATAAAATCCATGCATAGTTTTTTTTCTCTCAATCTGTACTTTCTCTGAACTTTTTAAAGAATTTCCTGTCCATACCCCTGTCATGTAGATTGGGGTCCTGGTTTGTGCTGGCTGCGTGGCTGGTTGTGCGCACTCACCTGTGCCTCTGGGTGTGGGCTGTGCCCGGCTTAGCCAGGCTGAGTCAGGAGCCTTCGGGGCCCTGGCGCGATCTTGCTGTGACTAACCTTTGAATCACCCCGTCAACTCCGTCAACTCGGGGATCAGCTCAGGTGGAGGGGATGGCTGTCTGTCCAGATTCCTCATCTGGTCACTCCATCCGTCCTTCTTGGCTCCCAGACAGCCCAGGCATTTGGCAGGTGAAGCTTGACTGTTCTGAAATGGCTTTTGCAGAGAATTAGCCTGAACTAATCAGCCGCTTCCCGAAGCTTCCACCCTCTCAGGATGCAGTCCATTGCCTTCAGGGCTCCCCTCCCTCCCCTCCGCCGCCGTATTTTTCCTTCAGAAATTTCTAACCACTAAAACACAACTCAGGAAGCTGGAGAGTGGTTTAAATAAAATGGACTCAAAAGAATATTCTGGCTACCATGTGTTGTCAGCTTCCCACTTGCTGAGACCAGGCTCTCCACCTGACTCTAATTTCCAGGCCCCTCTGCCTGCCTGCGGTACTGGCAGGGACCTAAATCTAAAAGGTTTCGATTTTAGAATAGAAAATTCCTGCAAGAAAAAGAAGTGCGCCAATCCTAGACACTCTAGCGTGGAAAGGGGAATGCCAACTATGGAGTTAATTAGCATCGCATGGCTCCTGCCACCCTCCCAGGGGCTCCTTCTGGGGTTCCAGTCCCAGCTGTGTGTGAGGTGGGCAGCTCCAAAGGAGAGGCCCCTCTACCCACCACTCAGCCCAGCGCCTCTGTCCTTTCCCCTGATCCGGGAGGAGTACAGCTGGCCTGGACCAGAGGCTGTGTTTGCCAGCTGCTTGCTAATGCAATCCAGCGCTTCCACCCACCGCCAGCCTCCCCTCAGCCCTTTGATTCTAAAGTCACACCTCCTCAACCTGGGAGGCTCGCTCAGCCCCAGCCCGGAGTGGCTTTGAAGCAGGCAGGCACACAGGTTAAAATCCATTAGGTTTGTGAGCTCGAAGACCACGCCTTTGCCACGCCCCTGTGTGACCTAATGCCCTTATCAGGCCACACCTGATTGGCCTACCAGCCAATCAGGTTAATTAACCACTCCCCTTTGGAAGTGGGTTAAAAGCCTGGGACGCAGTGTGTCCTCCCCTCTCCTTTTCCCTGGCCTCTAGCCAGGAGGGGGCTGGCTGTAGCCCTGTGCCTCCTGGGCATGTGGCCTTCTGGCTACCCAGCCTAGGCTTCCTGACCTAGATGCTCCTCCACGTGGCTGGTTCCTGGTGCTCAGTGTGAACCCAGATTTACCTCTCTCTCTTAAATAAAGCTCTCACTCTCCTATGCATTTTTCGCACTAAATAAAAGCTAAAATGTACCATGCTGCCTTGTTTATTTATGCTGGTATTTAGAATTCTTCTCTACATATTAGGCAAGAACGCTCTCGGGCTTATTAATATTGGGGATTTATTAATAAGCATATGGTGATATATGGCACCCCAAATTCTGGTAACATGTGGCACCCCAGACTCGACCTCTGGGGAACTTTAAGGGGCCACGTTTTCATGTAGATTTTAGGGGGTCATTTCCGATATCGGCTCCAGGGACCTCCCCCAACTCTCCAGGGGCCTGAAGGTGAGCCCGCACTTGCCCAGATCAGGAAGAGACTCGGGGAGGCCGCCGACCCAAGTTCTCGCAGCACGGCCTGAGGAAGGGCACTTCCTCGCTGACCTGGCCTTTCTTCTACTCTTACCGTCATCTGGATGCTTCATAGATGTCGCTGCCTTACCCCACCCAGTGCTATTACAACTCTCCTTTCACACTTGCAGAGACTGGTGGAAGGTGGAAGTGAGAGGTGCAAGGTGGGACGCATCTAAGGGCATCCCTGGATCTGTTTTCTTCAGAACCCTGTGGCAGGTGTCCTGTTCCTCATTCCTCCCCAGCCAAGAGGCGGATACTGTGCAGCTCCGACGATGGCATGAGCGTGGTCACGGGCATGGGGTTTTGCAAAGACGGGTAACTACCAAATGTATCCCAGAAGGCCCTGGTCAGAGGTGCTAAGTGTTGGCGGCAGGGTCTGCCCTATGGGAGCAATCACATCTCACACACCTAAACCTGAGGTCCACCAGGGAGTTCTGAGCCCTGTGGTGACAGATATCTTAATATTGGTATCCATGTCCCTATGCGTGCATCTCCCATCCCAAATACTCTTTTTTTTTTTTAAAGATTTATTTATTTATGTGAAAGTCAGAGTTACACACAGAGAGAAGGAGAGGCAGAGAGAGAGAGGGGTCTTCCATCTGCTGGTTCACTCCCCAATTGGCCGCAATGGCCAGAGCTGTGCTGATTCGAAGCCAGAAGCCAAGAGCTTCTTCTGGGTCTCCCAGGTAGGTGCAGGGACCAAGGGCTTGGGCCATCTTCCACTGCTTTCCTGGGCTAGAGGGAACTGGATTGGAAGTAGAGCAGTCATATGGGATGCCGGCACTGCAGGCGGCATTTTTACCCGCTATGCCACAGAGCCAGCCCCCAAAATACTCTTTTAAAAATCTTATTTATTTGAAAGGCAGAGTAACATAAGGAGAGACAGATCTTGAATCTGCTGGTTCACTCCCCAAATGGCTGCAACAGCCAGGGCTGGGCCAGGCAAAAGCCAGGAACCAGGAACTTCTTCTGGGTCTCCCACATGGGTGCAGAGGCCCAAGGACTTGGGCTATCTTTTGCCTTTCCAGGCACATTAGCAGGGAGCTGGATCAGAAGTAGAGCAGCCAGGACTCGAACCAGCTCCCATATCGCTCCGAAATACTCTTAGACTGTGACCACGTCTAGTCCCACTGCAAGGCGGGGTGTGTTCCCCTCCCCCTGCACCCTGGGTGGTCTTAGAACAGGAGGGTTGTGATGCAGCGTGGCTCCAGAGGCTGGCTTCCAGAGGGTTCTGTCCCAGGCGAGGAGCCCAGGGAGAAGCCCCTCCAAGCTCACCCACGTTGCTCAGGGCTTCGCTGCTGGCTGGAGACGGCAGTTCTCAGCCACGGGGACTGCTCCACACGATCGCGCGCAACATGGAAGCCTGCTTCCCCCCGTGAAAAGAATCCAAAGAGCAGGCCCAGAGGCCACCATCTTTTTTTAGCCTAATCTCAGAAGCAGCCTCCCCTCACCTCTGCCACGATCCGCACGAAGTCATTCACCAGATGCGCGCCCCATCTACACAAGAGGAATTACTCGCACAAGGGTAGGAACCTCAGGGGCAGGAGCCCTGGGGTCTCAGCAGGGGCTACAGCACGTGTTCCCTCATGGATCCTCTCACCCGGTGCTGCTGTGCCCACTGCACAGATGCACAGTTACACATGGCAGGCAGGCAGTGCAATCTATTTCAATAAAAACATTCTGGCTCTGTGCCTCCTTGGGAATTTCAATTCTGGGAATGATTTTCTGCAGAGAATGCAGGAAAGTAGTTTAAGCTCTTCATTCTGCTGAACTTTCCATTTAGTTCCAAGACTCTAGGTTTGTGCGGATGTTCCCTGACTTACGCTGGGGTCAGCTCCTGAAAAGCCCGACCTACGTTGAACATGCCTGGGTGGGAAATGTGCAGGGCACCAATGGAGCAGCCCACGTCCCAGTGCATCAGCGCAGCGCTCAGCAGCTTCTGCCAGGACGGCGGGGCTGCCTGGGCCCAGCAAGGGCAGAGAGGATTGGGCCACACAGTGCTAGCCCAGGAAGGATCCAGACACAACTCCCCCAGGGTGCTGCCTTCTGTGTGCGCTTGGCTGTTGCACCGTAGGAAAGTTGAAATAACTTGGCCCATTGGAGGTCAGGACTGTCAGTCGTGAGGTCCTAAGTGCTCCGGCCACCTTTGGGAGCTGGACCTCTGGAAGGCAGCTTTCCACCCAGCTAGAGTGGAATTCCAGAGGAAGACAAAGCAAACCCTTGACCTTTCTCTTTCCGCCTCTCTGCTCTCCCTCCTCTCTCCATATTGTCGGCTTTATTTTTTTTTAAAGATTTATTTATTTTTTCGATAGGAGGGTTAGAAAGAGACGGAGAGCAAGATCTTCTGTCTGCTGGTTCACTCTCCAAAGGGCCACAACAGCTGGAACTGGGCCAATCTGAAGCCAGGATCCAGAAGCATCTTCCAGGTTCCCCATGTGGGTGTGGGCACCCAAGTACTTGGACCATCTTCTGTTGATTTCCCAGGCGCATTAGCAGGGAGCTGGATCAGAAGTGGAGCAGCCTGGACTCGAACTGGCGCCTCAGGTGGCAGCTTTACCTGTTAAACCATAGCACCAGCCCCCATACTATTGGCTTCTTTGTGATGTTTCCTGGGGCCTCTTGATTAGAACCTGAGCTTCACACACATCCACACATCCAGCTTTGAATACCTCAGCCTGGAACACAGCCTTTCCCACCACGGTCAGTGACCTGGGCCTGATTTTCTGTCAAAACAGCCCATGAAGGGTGAGAGGCTCATTCTGCCCTGGCTGTTGTGGCCACCTGGGGAGAAAACCTGCAAATAGAAGATCTCTCTCTCCCACCCTCTCCCCCGTCTTTCCCTCCTCCCTTTCAAATAAATATTTAAAAACAGTACAAATAAACTCCTATAACTTTCCTTAAAAACAAATTAAAATCAATCCACATATTCTTTTTTTTTTTTTTACAGGCAGAGTGGACAGTGAGAGAGAGAGACAGAAAGGTCTTCTTTTGCCATTGGTTCACCCTTCAATGGCCACCGCGGCCGGTGCGCTGCAGCCGGCGCACCGCGCTGATCCGGAAGCAGGAGCCAGGTGCTTCTCCTGGTCTCCCATGGGGTGCAGGGCCCAAGCACTTGGGCCATCCTCCACTGCACTCCCTGGCCACAGCAGAGAGCTGGCCTGGAAGAGGGGCAACCGGGACAGAATCCAGCGCCCCGACTGGGACTAGAACCCGGTGTGCCGGCGCCACAAGGCAGAGGATTAGCCTAGTGAGCCGCGGCGCCAGCCCCACGTATTCTAAACCAGAGGCCTCTTGAACTTGAACATACATATAACACACATTTGCAGATGTGATTCTGCATTGCCTTTCACAAAGGGTTTGCTTGGGGATTTGCTTGGGATAGACACGCCTTTTAAAAAGGCAGATCCTTTGGGGGTGCTCTGGCTTAAGTTGCCCTTTCAGACTCTCTCATCCCACATCAGAGCCCTGGTTTGAGTTCCTACTGATCCAGCTCCCTGTTACTCTGCCTTGGAAGGCAGCAGCAGATGGCCCAGGTGCTTGGGCCCCGGCCACCCATGTGGGAGACCCCGAATGGAGTTCCTGGCTCCCCAGATATCTGTTGTGGCCATTTAGGGAGTGACCCAGTGGAGGGAAGATGTCTCTGTCTCTTCTTCTGTCTCTGTGCCTTCCAAATAAGTACACAAATAAATCTTAATTGAAGTCCTGATCTTTCCAAGGTTCAAGCACCCACTGAGTACATGGTGTGGTTCCTTACAGAGAGCACACTCGGAGCTCAGTGAAGATTAAGTGCGATGACTGAGTCACAGATTGGGAGAATGCACGGAAAGGCAGAACGAGCCCAGCTATCACCCGCCTTTGTATTTGCTGGGTTCCTCGCCATTGAGCACTGCAGAGCCTGACACGACAGGGCCTCAGCAGACGCCTGCTGACCTGAGCCGCTTGTCTCATGGCCCAGTCTGGGCAGCAGATGTCAAAAGAAATTGCCTCACCCTGAAAACTCCCTTTGGATTTTAGCCCAAACTCCATTTCAGCAAATACGGTCAGGATTAAAGATAGGCTTATTCAGAGGAAAAAGTGAAATGGAAAGTCACTTTTTTCTTTTTGTCTTTACAAAAGAGATCTTGTGAGCCCCTCCCCTGCCGTTTCTTATCCCTCAGCACTGCTGTGAAAGGCCTCGGATTAATGCTGGCACCTGATCAGGTGCAACGTCTGTTTCCATCAGACACCTTTAGACTCATGAGAGCTCACTTCAATGAGAAGGAGAAAATGCTTCCCTT